CCCTGCTCGGCGGGAAGCCTGCTTCTCCCTCTCCCACTCCCCCTGCTTGTGTTCCCTCTCTCGCTGTGTTTCTCTCTGTCAAATAAATAAAATCTAAAAAAAAAGACTCACATAAAAACCCCAGTGTGTGTTTTGTTCCCCACAGGGGCTCGGGTTGCGGCCCTGGAAGCGGCCAGACCCGGCCACACCCTGGGCTGGGCGCCGTCAGACCCATTTGTGGCTGGGTCTCATGTGTTCTTCACGCTTTGCTTGTGCTGACTGGTGACTCTCTGCTCTTAACTCTGAGTGGTCATGGACTTGAGGAAGTAATCACTGTGCCTGTCAAAAAAAAGTTGTAACTGTTAAAAGGAATTGAAAGGAATTGGTCTGCAGAGCCCGTGGCCAGGGGTAGAAATGAGATGTCCTGGGGAAGCAGGGACACAGAAGCCACACGTGGCCTGGGGGAACCTGAGCAGGTTCTGAGATGAGGACAGCCGCTCACGGTGGCACTTCTGTTCCTGGCTCCCAGGCTGGTGATCCAGGCCTGGAGCTCCCTGCTGCCCTCACTCCCACATGGGCAGTGGGCACCCTTGGGACCTAGTGCCCACTGAGTCACCTTTGTCCTCTGCCCAACCTGGGTGGTTTTTTCAAATTGTGATAACGTATGCATAATATAAGACTTACCATCTTAAGCATTTTATTTTATTTTATTTTTATTTTATTATTTTTTTCAGTAGGCTCCATGCCTAACGTGGGGCTTTAACTCATGACCCTGAGATCAAGAGTCACATGCTCCACCCACTGAGCCGGCCAAGCGCCCCGCCCCCATCTTAACCATTTTAAAGTGTCCAGTTCAGGGGCACTAAGCACATGCACATTGTTGCGTGACCATCCCCACCGTCCATTTCCAGAACATTTTCATTTTCCCAAACTGAAAATCTACCTGGATGGGTTGTTTGTTTTGTTTTTGTTTTTGTTTTTAAAGATTTATTTATTTGACAGAGAGAGAGACGGCGAGAGCAGGAACACAAGCAGGGGGAGTAGGAGAGGGAGAAGCAGGCTTCCCACGGAGCAGGGAGCCCGATGCGGGGCTCGATCCCAGGACCCTGGGATCATG